AAGTCAATTATTGCTGACTGTCATTGTAACTGCAGCAATCAGACAGGTCTTGATATTAAATAGCAATACATTTACCAATGTGAGCTTGGATTTCCAACGAAGTGCTACCCATACCACCAATGTGCCCTCAGAGATTTTTTCATTTCCATCCACTACATGCACGGTGAAGGATTATTCATGCTGGCAGCATTTTACCTGGCACTCAACTGCACTTTTAAAATGGCACTGGTGATTCCACCATTGCTGATTGCATGATAGCAGTGCCATTGAAATGTGAAGCATAAATAATGAGATGAAAAGTGCAAAATTGTATGAGAAAACTCACTTCCTTTCACAGAAGGAAACCCTCCATAAGCTCCCTGAAATTGACACTTAACCACTTTTGGTAAAATTCAGCCCATAGAGGTTAAAAGAGGAGAATATAAAGAATCTGATTTTCCTGTAAAGGATAACAGCAAATATTTACTTTATGTCCTTGAAAACAAAGAATATGGTGAACCAGAATTATATAATAGCAAGTAGAGGATATGGATATAACAGAACAGTTATTTAATATTTAGATTTGAAAATGAAAAGTAAAACATGATAAATATGAGGTGCATGGGAAATTCAAGTCATTAACGTGAATTTTCTGAAGTCATGTTAGATGGGCAGGAATGCAGAGACATGAATCAGGATGGAAAAGTTGCCATAGATACATCAATGGAAGCCAGGCTTCTATTCACATCCAGTTTATTTTTTAAACATTATTAAAAATAGATAATGGAATTTTTATTTCAAAATTCACTTTCTTCCAAGAAAGCTATGGAAAATTAAATGATAATAAATGCTGCGCAAATATTCAAAGAAAGGAGGAAGAGATAAACTCACTGGTCTGTATAATAGTTAATTTAATGGGAAAATTGTTAAAATCCATCATAACAAATGTGAGAACTCAGGGCCAGATTTTCATGGAGACTCCAATTTTTGACAAGACTCCATTTCCAACAGATCCCATTTTCACCAGCAGGGGAAAGGGACAAGGCATGATGTACACATCAAGAAAACTGTATGGGACCATTCAATAGACCCCATTTTCGCTATCACAAAGACCTTTACCTACAGTTTGCAACGTACAAATTTTTAGAGTTAACATAAATGGTCTTGTACGGCAAATAAGATTTGTCAAATTGTCATCATGTTAAGTTATTTACATCCCTAGTTCTTTCAAATTGAAAAACAGGCTACTTGTACCAGAGTTGGAAAAAAAACTGATCTAGCAGTTATAATTGCATTTGTCCACATTTACCTAAGGAAACTGTCATTATGAATGCTTGGCTGCTTTTCACAGGCTATATTGGTTTGTTAGGGGAATGGTAATGGTACAAAGGGGAAGGAGAGAACTTCAGAGCTCAAAATGTAGACAACTAGAATAAAGTTCTATGGAGCAAGGCAGGCCTTTCAACCAGAAATACAGTCCACCTAAGGTTCATAACCCCTCCCAAATGTCTGCATCCTGCCACAGCTGAGACCTAGTGCAGGCTTGTTCACATTGAACAACAGCACAGTAGTGAGACTGATGGAGTATAATCAGAGAGTGATGTTAAAACAAAATGAAACATTGACAGAGGACTCTTGTATTTAACTTTAAGGGTCTCTGATATTGACATACATGAGAATGTTTAAAAGGCAATTAACAAAGTTATATATAATAGATTGCCTGTTAAAATTGAAACATACAGAATTGATGTCACCATTGTATGAGATTGGTTGGAAGATAGGAAGTAACATTTTGGGCAACAGGGATATATTTAAATTAATTAAGGAGGTTCAGCAAAATATAGGTATTAAAATTTGGAGATGACAACAACCTCAAAGCATAACGAACCTTCAAAACAGCAGAAATTTACAAATGGGTCAATCAATATATTGACAATTTGCCAATGCAGTTTAATATAGCAAAACATTGTGATGCTCAAAACAACAGTATTGAATTCCTATTACAAATTCTTTACCCTCATCAATGATTCCACCTCCAGCACAGGTTGAACCAGACTTCAAAACCATTAAATCCATTAAGTATTTAGTATGAGCCTGGGCTGTGCTTCTGACACCATACTTCTGATGATTCAGATCTCTTATGCAACTTCACCTCCCTTTACACCATTTGTGGCCAAGACTTCATTCAACTTGGCTCCAGACAGATTTCCTGCAAGAAAAACTTCCATCTCTGTTTCTTTAATTCCCTCCTTTAAACCAGTTGTGACCAAAATTTTGATTATTTTTCTGAATGCAACTTTCTTTGGCTCAACAATCTATTTATTTTTATTATGTGATTTGTGAATACTTTGAAGTTTATTCTTAATCTTAAAGGCAATATGTAAGTGAAAACAGTTGTGGAAATGAAATAAGGCAGTACACTCGTAATAATGTCCTCTTAAGGTGAATGGCAGGAGGTTTAGAGGGGATTTGGAAAATGATTGTTCACCAAAAGGGTGATCGGATTCGAATGTGCTACCTGGGAGGATGGCAGTGGCAGGAAACCTCCTAACCTTTGAAAAGAACATGGATGAGCACTTGAATTGTCATTATATTCAAGGATATGGGCCAAGTGTTAGAAAGTGGGATGAGTGTAGATAAGTCAGTGCAGGCTTGATAACCTGAAGGGGCAGTTCTGTGCTGTATGACTATGATTTTTGTGGAAGAAATGCAGTTTGGAGCACTGTTTTGAAGCATTGAGGATTCAGTGAACAAAACTCACAGGTACAAAAAAAAAGGAAATGTGCAATTAAGTATAGATATAGAATACATAGGAAGTACTACCAAAATCTCATTGGAATGTTATACTTCATTCTGGGTGCTCACCTTAGAGAGGATATATTAGTTTTGATGAAAATCCTTGACGGTTTACCATGAGGTGCATGCTGGAGGGATTTAGTGACATCAGACAATCTTGGATTATATTTTCTAATCATGGGGAAGTTACCTGATTAAGATGTTCAAAAATAATGGGGTAGAGAGGAAAAAAAAACTTTTCTTTAGTAAGGGAAGTCAGTTTAAAACTTAATCCGGAAAAAAACACAACCTTCACTAAAAGGGTATGATAACTTAGGATCCACTATCCCAAACACCCATAGTTACAACATCATATCGTAAATATTTAAAAGGGAGATAAATATTTAAGAAATTTGAGTAACTCAGGAATTTGAAATTTGAAATTGGGTTTGAAAATGTAATAAATTACTTGAATTACCACAGAAAAATTAACACCAGGTATAGTATTTCTGTCTTGGAAAATCAATTTTAAGAGTAAGATGTACATGGAGCAAGAGGAAAGGAAGAAACAAGGGTTCAATAGATCATTTATTTAAAGAGGAAGATGTGGTATAATGGTCATTGGGGGACTGTAGGCAAGGGAAATAGGCAGTAAGAGAAATGAAGGGTTTGTCAATGTGGTGGACTTGAAGTGAGGTACACACGATTGGGGCTTGGATTACAATTGGTGAGAAGCATATTCAACCTAAACACCCATTCCAAATACCAACAAAGAGCCCACTTAAGGCAGTGTCCCTACCCCTGGACCAGGAGGCCCAGGTTCAAGTCCCACCTGCTCCAGAAGTGTGATAGCATTATTGAACAGGTTGATATACTTTTTGTTCAAACCCTACCTTTCTTCCAGAAAAAAAGGGCAGAACTGAAAATTTGTGGGAAAGCAGAGAAAGAGAGACTAAAGTGAGCGAGGACAAGAATATCAGTGACAAAAAGGTTCTGAATTGCCGAATGATGGCCACAGAAGATCAACTGATAATGTATTAAAGATCTTGAAAATATCAGTAGTATGGTCATCTTGTAACTGTCATACTTAAACCATTACATTTCAGACACGTTTGATTGTATTCTCATAGTGAGAAATGTCACTGAAGATCAATTTAGTATGTGAAGTATTTGATTTAAATATCCTAGTATCATACACAAGATCAGGCTAGTGGTGAATTCTGGAGTCTCTTCCAAAATATGCATTTGAACTGACCACACAGATTGTGAAAAGTGAAGATGAGCTTGTCCATATTTTTTTTAGTGCCATACTTTCTAGAGAAAAGTGACACTTTGGTGCCTCTTGATTAATCAGTCAAGATCATTCATCATATGTGACCAGATTTGACATTGTACCCAATCAAAAACATATTTCTGATTTATAACCTCAATTTTGATTCCGGAATAAATAAATTCAAAAATCAGTGACACAATTTGTCTAGAAGACAATAGAAATAATTCAGATTTGCACGTTGTTTTGTCATAAATCACATGCCATGCTTCAGTTCATGTGATCAATGAATAAATGAAAAAGTGTACATGACTATAAAAAATATCAGAGTTAAATAGATACAAAGTATTGTTTTTTTTTCCATTTGCCAAAATTAAAGAACAATACTGTGTCGTTTATAAAACCAAAGTACATTTACTTGAAATAGATTTTAAGTTCACTTTCCACTGTATAATGTTATTACACGAAAAGACTGCATATGGTGGATATTAAACTTTTTTCAAATCTTTCAAAGCAGGCCTAAACTACAGAACAGTAACAAGCAAACAAACATGGGAATTTATGTTAAAAGGCGGGCTTTTGGACCTAGAGGAAATGTCACCCTCTACAGCTGCTCTATCCTCCTCCAACCTTTAGGCTATGAATGCTTCTCATTCACTGAGATCAGATCAGTCAGAAAGGAATACATTTGAAAAATCAGGGCGATGCGGTCATACATTTACATCTATGTTAGAACAATTCAAATAAGTCATTTCTTGCACTGTTAAGAAGACTACATGAACGTTGAGGGAAAAAATCTATCTCCTTTACTATCCTTCGCACAATCCTAATTTAATTTCCTCTCCAGGTGCGAGGATTTCCATCTCATCGAATCCAACTAAGCATCACATTCTAACAAGCACATTCATTAAAGAGAAAATAAATTTATACGCTATTCCGGTTTTCATTAATCTCAAATAAAGCGATCGCACTATACCTTGCCGAGAGGCGGAGAAAAAAGCGTAGTTTGTTAAAACGGGAAGTAATCTTCAATAAAAGGCAGTTTCAGGCTGAAAGTGCAAGAACTGTTACTTCCGGGTTGGTCAATTGTACGTCATTTGGTTCAGGTTTGTAACACCATCTAGGTCACAACATGACTAAAAATGGAATCAGTTGCTGAAAGGGAGGGTTTTGCTTCTAATTCCTACCGTTCATACATGTATAAAGTAAAGACATACGTGATGAACAGAACGGTTCACTGTTCTGTGGAAGAAAGGTGGGTAAAAAAATAAAAATAACTTGCCGGACCAACGGGAGATAATTTGGACAAGCTTTCGCAATCACGCAGCTCTGTTTGGCTGCCGAGAAAGGGAAGCATGATTTAGCGAAATAACGAGCTTACATTGCCAGACATCAGAGCAGTTCCCACTCTGAGGATCTGACTAATTATAAAATCAATCTATATACGTTTTTAAAAAGGGAAGTTCCTGGTAATGACTGGAGACGAGGATTGTAAAATTAAGATTCTGCTATCACTGGGACGAAGCTGGGTTCTTTCAAAAGATTCTTCAAGGGGCGTTGTCACAGTGCATGGATATTTGGGGGTGAGGGGCGAGGCGGCAGTCTTAGTTCCTGTAACAGAATCCAAAGGCTGAAAAAAAGGCATTGCGCCATGTCGGGTGTGAAAACACTGGGCAAATGCTATTTCTGCTGCAGCAGAACATTTTGCAACGCTGTTTCCTGTTCGCTTTTAAAACCTGCAATTACAGTTCATTTTTTTTTCCCTCACCAGCAGACATGATACATTTCCATAATGAGTGTCACATTATTGGTTATTGCTCTGATTATAAACCTGCCAAAGTATTTCGCTTAAGGGTTTAAATATTGGCAGGTCCCTTTTAAATGTGTGCTGTCACCTTCAATGTCTATGCTTGACATTGAAGATCCCACCTTTTGATGCTATCAAAATGTGATGTTGAGTACGTTAGCACTGTGTAATTAGGATACATCTTGGTAAAGGGGGATTAGGTCTAGAATGCATTTCAGTACAGAACTGTATATGTTTCAAAATTTGGAGGATTGGGATTTTCATTTTTTTTTTAATAGAATCATTTGGTGACAACACAGGAGGAGGCCATTTAGCCTATTTTATCTATGCCAGTTCTCTCAGCAATGCTTAGTCCCAGTCCCTGCTTCTTCTGGTGGTTCAGCATTTTTTTCTCTGAATAAATATATTATTCTGTTTTGAAAGTGCTTCCACCATACTATGTGGCATTTTATTCCTAACCACTCAACCTGTTTTTCTTTAAAATGATTTTCTTCATGTTGCCATTTGTTCTTTAACTATACATTTTAAATTGGTTTTCTCTGGTTCTGGACCCTTTCAGGAATAGGAACAGTTTCTCTCTGTGTACTCTGTCCAGATTAATGTTCCCTCTATTTTTTCTTCTGCGTGGATATATAAGGCCTGTGTGTACAGTGACTTCCAAAACTGAAAGTTAATGTATCAGCACAATAGTTGGCATGCATGGGCCCTCAGAGAGTGGCTGTATAACTGTGCAACTTAGCAGCAACATTGGTCCAACCTCTGTGACAATCTGTTCTCAATCTTCTCTCCGGCAAACAGCGCCATCTTCACCAATCTTATCCACATAACTGAAGTTCTTTATCCCTTGATCTATTATCATAAAACTTTCCTACAGTCTCTCTAAAGCCTTATATCCTTACTAAAATGTGTCCCCAGAGTTGGGCATAACACTTCAACTGGGGCCAAACCAGTGTTCCGTAAAGGTTCAATCTAATTTCCTTGCTTTCCACAGCTCACTTTATAAAGTCCAAGTTTCCTTTTGCTTGTTGATCAATTTACCTTATGAGTCAATTGCTTAACCAAAACAGCTCCTCACAGTAACAGTTTATGTTTGCTTCTCTGATGCTATGGAATATCGAACTAATAAATCTAGGATAATATAACTAATGACATATGGGGGGCCAGTAGTGTGGTGGTAATGTCACTGCACTAACAGCACAGAGGCCAAGTGAGCATCCTGGAGTGTTAGGTTACATCACACCACAGCAGCTGATGGAATTTAATATTATTTAAATCTATCATTGTTGCTTAAAAAGAACAGGAATTCCCTTCAGGGAATGAAATCTCCTGTTCTTAGATAACAAGGTGTACAGCTGGAGGAACACAGTAGGCCAAGCAGCATCATAGGAGCAGGAAGGCAGACATTTTGGGCCTAGACCCTTCATCAGAAATGGGGGAGGGGAAGGGGGTTCTGAAATAAATAGGGAGAGAGGGGGAGGTGGATAGAGGAGAAGATAGGTGGAGATGGAGCCAGTAAAGGTGAGTGTAGGTGGGGAGAAGATAGGTCAAACCAGGGAGGACGGACAGGTCAAGGGGGCAGGATGAGGTTAGTAGGTAGGAGATGGGGGTGTCTCGCCTGTATGCTGCCCCAAGCAATGTTATTGATTCTTAACTTTTCTCTGAAACAGTCCAACAAGCCACTTCAAAGGGTTTGCTGGCATGGTATAGTACTTGTGGATTAGAAGTCATTTGTTTGTAAAATGATAGGGGGTGGAGGGGTAGGGAAAAGAGTGTATGCTACCTTTAAAAGATGTGTTTTATTAGGCTTGGAGATCTTTTTAAAAAGTCTGCAGGCAGTAGCAGATGCATGGGGAATTCTTGAAATTGAAACATTGTGTACTGTTAACAGGCAAAACAGCATTTTTTTACCAAGACAACAGGTTTTTTGAATTTAGCAAATTAGTTTAAACCAGGCCCTAGATACCAAAGCCCAATTAAATTTAAATCTGATGGTTTTGACAACCTCGGACCAATCCTATTCTAAGAAATTAATAGGTCATCAAGGGTATATAAGAGAGGCCATTTGAAAATTAGTGTGGGAGCAAACTGGCACCTGTTAAGAAAGACAAAAATCACTGCTTCTCAAAGAAATTGCTAAGATCTCAGAGTAAGCACAATCTTAAAGGTACTATGGCACCCTTAAGAAATATTCCTGAAGCAAGAATTCAATGAAGGAAGATGTTCTTGACTGGAGGACAGCAGAGAAGGCAAAGAACATTCTGGAAGACTTGCCCTGGTTGTTATTTCAAGAGATTAAGCTTTTTTAAATTAATTTGGTTTAGATAAGTGGTCTTGTATCTATTGGAACAGCAAGCCTTTGGGATTTTGTTTTATTCAGGAATACTTATTAGTTAAAGGGAAATTGTTTGTTTGGTTTGTTAGTAGTTCTGTTAATTTGTTAACTGTTAGAGTTAGATAAATAAACTTGAGTATCAGGGATTTATTTCATTTAAGCACTCCTTTAATAGATTACAAGGTGAGGTGAGCTTCTCTGGATGCCTTCATAACAAAAGAATGAATTGAAGAGATACTGAGATATATAACTTGCTCTTTCTTCAGTCTGGATATTTCCCTGTTCCATCAGGTATTGTTGGGAAGTTTATAAATATTTTTAAATCATTGAAGAGTTAAGAGCGAAAAGCCAATTGTCCACTAATCAGCTGTTTGTAAACCTGAAGTATGATGTGTATCATTCGGGACTCTGTTTGTGCCAGAAATGGATTTAAGAATTCATGTTCCAGTCTTCTTTTATATAGACATATATTTCAAGTGAAAAGTGTTTTATATCACTAGAACTTAAAGCATACTCAAAATTTCCCTCTCTCCAATTGGTTTAAAGTATTAAAGCAATTTTTAATTTGTATAAGAATCAAATTAGTAGTAGTATATGGGGGGGGGCATTCTAACTGATCAAGTTATACACAAATTCTGGGGGGAAAAAATAATTAAACTTGACTCTAAGCCACCATCAATATGTTTTACTTTTCACTTATCCACGATAATGTCATAAGACACAGGAGCAAAGGTAGGCTGTTCAATGAGATCATGGCTGGTCTGATAATCCTCAATTCCATTTTCCTGGTTCTTCCTCATGTCCCTTGATTTCCTTAGCAATTTAAAAATCTGTCTCTCTCAGCCTTGAATATACTTAGTGACCTAGCTTCAACAGCACTCTGTGGTTTTTTTTTAGAAAAAAAAAGTTCCAGCAATCAAACTGTCAGAGGAAATTCATTTTCACTTCTCTTAAATGTGTGACACCCACCCACCCAATATTCTGAGATTATACACTCTGATCTGAGACTGTTTGTTTCACAAGGGGACACAACCAGATTGGAAGTTAGGGGAAATAACCTGCTGTTGACAAGCTAGCAAGTCATTTAAGTGCATGACACTCATTTGGTAGTACAGAACTTGAATATTACTGAAAAAGAAACTTTTTGTCCTGTACTCAGTAGGACAATTTTGCAAGAAATACCAGTATAGAGGGAAAAGAAAATAATTTATACTTTGAGAAGCGTGTGATCTCTAGTTGACAAGGGACACTCCAATTGGTACCTGTATTGCCAAAGAGAATTCTCCAGTTATGAGATGACTGACAATTAACTGTCAGTTTTTTTTTTCAATTTAAACAATGTAAATTGACTCTGATTAGTCAAATGTTGCCCTGAAAAATTAACCAGAGAATAGCTGTCACCTGTTTTATTGAATTCAAACAGATGTGTTTTTATACATATTCTTTCTGTAAGCCAAAAAAAAGCCCTGTGGTTTAACGTATGCAGCTTTCATTACATGTATCGTAAGCCCAATTGATAAACTGTAATTGGATTCAGCATAACTCATAATACAGATCAGTATTATTTAGCAAATAAAAAGCGAAAGAACTGCTGATGCTGTAAATCAGGAAGAAAAACAAAGTTGCTGGAAAAGCTCAGCAGATCTGCCAGCATCTGTGAAGGAAAAAACAGAGTCAACGTTTCGGGTCCGGTGACCCTTCCTCAGAACTGTCTCCCAGTGCAATTGTGCAATTATAATCCCACAATTCTTTAATAGCTATCTAAAATGGGAGCTAACCAATGTATCCTCCTCTGACTTGTGGGAATCACATATAACATTGTTTTGATATCCTACACTGTTGCTATTGTAGTTTAATCTCTGTTATGCATTTTAAAGATCAGATCGACAGGGTTACTTTACCGTGAGCTGTCAGAGGGGCCTTTTTGTTAGCTTTTTATTTTAAATTGGTACACTTAATCCAAACACACAAGAATTGAATTCTATCCAATCACAGTTACATTACTTCCAATTCATTCACAGATTTAGTATTGTCATGACTCAGTATTCACCCATACCTGCCCTTGAAATGGTGATGATGAGTTGCCTCCTTGAAACACTGCAAAAGTACTCTTGCAAAATGTTAGGTAGGGAGTTATTAAAGTTTTTTTGTTGTAAAAGCTTTGATATAACTATAGCGGTCATTTCAGAGGGCAGTTAAGAATCAACCTAATTCCTGTGACTCTGGAGTGACATATGAGCTCAGCTGGACAAAGTTCTCTGATTTCCTTCCTGAAATTACGTTAATGAACCTGATGGGTTTTTATTCCAGATTTATTTATCACAAAATGAGACTGTCA